ACAAATAATGAATATACACTGTGTATATTTAGTGTATATATTACACAGACTGTGTATATAGTACAGTTTCAACTTTTCAACAAGGAAAGGTCACCTAGCCATACTACAGGTTATGAAAGACCTCCATAAATTAAATTAGACAGCTAGCTCACAAAGTTATAAGCTGTTTAGGGAACATGTCAGGAATTCTCTTTCTATAGGGAAGCTTCTCTCTCCCTGTAGAGTGGAATTTGACACCTAATAAGAAAGGCATTTTCTATTCTCTTAATATTTATGGATATTTTGAAGTATTTTAAGGCCTTCACAGTCTCTGCATGTCTTGAACTGCTTTTAACTGCAGTGAACTGCCTGCATATACATTATTCCATCTCCAAAGCCCCTGCATTTCTATTCAGAAAGTCATAATGCAGTTATTAAAAGAGATTTCCACACAGAGTTATTGAATCATATTGGTAAGCTTGGTTTATGCCTAGGTGCTGTGATATGAATGCACATTGTCTTGAATTTGTCTAGTAGTCTGTGGAGTGACAGCTCACTGCAGCCCTTAACAAGCTGCACAGATCAACTTGGTAAGGATTTGGTTAAATATCAGTGTGCCTGGTGATGTACAAAATAATATGAAAAAAAATTTCACTGAAATATTTATAGTCTAAAGGTTTCACCCATTAATAGTTCATAAATATTGTCTTCAAGCATGAGTCCATTGAGGTGAGTGGAACCACTCGTGCAAAAACAAGTTACGTATATTTCTGCCATCAAATCTTAAGAGATTTTAAAAGACATCCCATTTCAGAATAAGTTTCTAACTGAACATCAGCAATGAAAACAAAACAAAGCCTAAAACCTTCCACCTTGAGGGAAACTTCATTTAGCAGAAAGTTTTCTGGAGAGATTAAAAAAAAATTTAAAAAGCCTTTTTGTCACAAAAGGTTTGAAAATTTTATTTAGAATTTATGTGAGGAAGAAAACTGTTTAAGACTTAACATAAGGAGTATATATTTTTCATGTAAGACATGTTGTCATGATTTAACTTGTTTTAGATGCAATTTGCAACCAGGTAGTGCGCTTATTTGCATTTATGTTTCTCAACTCACAGTTTTGTTTCTATGCAGTATGTTCATCTTTTCAAAGAACTGACTTTTGACATTTATCAGTATATGTGAATATCCAAAGAAGTCATATCTAAATAATGTTCACGGGCAGATCACAGTAATATCTAAAATCTGTAAATGGCCTGTGGATAGATGCATCATAGATATGTGCATACTAGAAGCTTTTAAATAAAACAACAAATGGAAACACTGCAAGTGTGAGATTCATAATGTCAAAACACTAAGTCACCTACTTTCACAAATTGTCACATCTATCTGCAGTTATATTTTTTCCAAATGCATTGACATTTTACAATAGAAATTGTACTGATAAATTAGAAATTAAAATGAAATTAAATCATAAAAATACCACATGATTTTTACTCTAATAAGATGTGATGAAAACCCACTCTACTTCTGCACAGGAGCTGAAATGAAAACTGTAGTATTTTTTCCACTAATAAGGATTATGATAATACCTAGTACACTACAGCTAAATACGTTCGGGGTTTTTTTTTTTCCCCAATTAGTTATAAGCTAATCAGACCAATACATTTTCACACATGTTTTGTATTAAAATGTTACTAGCGAGACAGAAATGAAATACACAGGCACACATATCTATATGCTATGACTGCTGAACGTTTCTCTTTAGCATACATGCCCAAACTCCTAATAAGACAAGGCGGGAATGTATTTAAATAGTGCACATTTTAAACGACTCAATTTCAATATACTGTTTTCAGACTACATGCACGTAATCAGATTGTTTTCTAAGCAGACATCCATTTGATTACTTAAAGTGCAAATTGTGGTCTGGCTATTGAGTGTGCAGAGGAGGATAATGGGAAGGGCAAAGAAAATATAAGCCTTTTTACATCAACAGGTGGCAACGCTAAATAGGAAAAAAAAGAAAGAGAGGAGTGGGCTCAGAGAAATATACCTTCCCTGCATTGTATAGATATCTAAGAAAGAAAAATAATTTGGCAGAAATTTTAACTTTTTTCCTGCAGTGATATTCACATTGCATGTACATGGTTTGTACATGAGAGCATGGGCACAGAGCAGCAGGACCTCACAGAGGTTTCTCAGGCAGTTTGAGAAGTCCTCCTTGAGACTATTCAACATGCTTAGGGGCAACACACTATCCAGAGCAAGGAGACAGCTTCCAATAGTCCATGCAAGTACCCCACCTATGGGCTCAGAGTACTAACCTTCAATTCATGTATTTATGGTCAAGTTATAAAACCAGACAAGCAAAGACAAGAATACAAATTGCTACACAGCTGAAAAACCCACAGTTGTACTGCAATTGAAAAAGTCTAAAAGCAAAAGGGCATCCTATTCAGGAGCCCCACAAAAAAACCCATTAGAATTATAAAAACCAAAACAAATTCAGCACCAAAATCTGATATATATATATATATATATATATGTATTCATAAGAAAACATGAGGATTGATTTCTGTCTCCTAGGAAGTGCAGTGCTTAGTTGTCAAGTGATTAGATGCTTTATTTGGACATAAAAATAACTACAAGGATGTTTATTCAGAATAAGCTAATAAACAGAAGTTAACAAGCAGGTATGTATTTATCACGGTTCACAATACAGCAATACCTATCTCTGCACCAGGTATTAATAGCTGGCAAAATGTTTTCTTCAAACTAAAAGGTACATTGTGCCAAAAGTACCTAGTGCCTAAGAAAATAACCAGCTAGTGAAAAAAATCGTAATGCTTTCAAATGAGAGTCAGTTATTTCCCCAGTGAGTAGATTCAGATTTATCAAAACTATTTGAGAAGCCTAGACATAAAATTGATTGAATTCCATTATTCAGCAATAATCTTGAATTCTGACTTGAAGAAGCACACTCAGCCTAAGAACCTATCTTAGCCAGCAGAATTAAGTGATTGTTCTTTGCAGTATAAAATAGGAGTGGACTCATAAAGCTAATCACTTGGTTCTGAAGTGTTCACACTATCTTCATTTTTGAATTTTGAATTGTTTTAACGTGGTTTCATGGACTAAACATGCACTTGCAGTCAGAGCATCCCATCCCCACACATCCCACACCTTTAAAAGGAATCCAATTTGCATGCTCAAGACTGCTTAGTGTTGCAAACTGGAACAAAATAAATATGGACCACTCTGAAATCCAAGAAGGGTACTCCTGCTCAGCACTGGAATGCTAGTGAAGATGCAAACAATAATGCTATCTATGTACTCAGCGATATGAGAGGTGATCTAGTTTTGGATATTGAGAATCTCTGCTTTAAAATTGCCTTTTGGATGAACTACTTCCACCCCCAGTGCATACAAAGTGATTAAAAACTAAGTAATGAGAACGGTTTTTCTGAAGTATGCTTAATGTCTGCATTATGAACACTTCGACAGATAACATGGGAAGTTCTGGTCAGTCTTTAATGTTTTTATTGTAATTGTATTTTATCCTGTCCAGGAAAATGGAAATCAAGTGTAGCAATGCCCTTTTAATATATCAATTATAGTCAGTAGATTGAAATCACTGTTGCATATGTATCAAAGATCCACACAATTTCAATAATTGAAGAAGTGATAATGTCTGTTTCTCTACTATGAAAAGAATAAATGTCCTGTCTCCCTGTGTTCAGAAGCAAAAAAAAAAGAAAAAAATTGGTGAGTCCTCTACCTAGCAGCTTCCATCTCTTGAACATCAAGACATGATACAGAATTGTAGTGTATGCAGAAGCTTCGTGCCTGGTGAGACTTTGGCTGACAGGGTGTATCAGTAAGTCACACTGAGATACATATGTCAAATATGAGAACATATGTCAAATTGCTAGAGCTCACAGAAATTGAATGCTAGTACCTATTGCAGCCTCTAAGCCATGAAAAACTACTTTATTCCTAAACTTTTGCCATCCAGAAATTTAATTAAAATTAAATTTAAAATAATAAAATTTAGAATTAAAACTACAACGCATAATAATGAACTATATTATAAGTAGTGACTTAAAAATTACTGTGGACGAAATGTAAAAACAGGATATTCAAAACTAGTAAAGGGATCCCAACAGCAAAAGACAGTTGAAGTCCTGATCTTTATAAAGACTGAATAAGGAAGAGAAGCAAGAAGATACTCTGAAGCAAAAGATAATCCTTTTTGCAGGATAAATAGAGAAAAACAAACAAACAAACAAAACCCAGACCTTTTTCAAATTCTGGTCTGTTCATTCCTTTGGTGTGAAGAGAGTGATGGCTTATAATCACTCAGACTTGAGACGTGCAGTCAAGTGTTACAATGCATGGTATTCAGATTCTCAGAGAAGAACAGCAATTATTATTTATTATTGATTTTGTCAAGAGTTATGTTTAATAATAAAATTTATTGAGTAAGTGCATCTAATCACCAGGAAAGTATATGAGCCCTGAAAAAAATTATCATGCCTGTGCAAGCCAACTGCAGCATATATATTCAAGGATTCATACAGCATTACAAAACATAAAATGTATAGATAGCTTGCTCTTTTTACTCTGAAGTAATTTCTCTCGCCTCTGGCCAAAGCTTGTCAGAAACAGGGCACGATTATCCCCAAGTTTTATGCACACTGACATTAAGAAACATAAATACTCAGAAATACTTTCCAACTCCAAAATCTCCAACTACTTTGAGACTGAATGTCCCAGAAGCAACCAGTGCCACATGGTGTGATTAGTCTGCTTTACAGGTAACATCTGAGGCAAGTTTACAAGTATAGAGACTGCAATTGGCAGTACAACTTTGTGCCCTTGTGGCAGTGCTTCCCATCAGAAAAGCTAAATGCACAAGAAAGGAAATATCTAAGAACTACCCTTTTCCTTGACAAGGTCAATTATATAACTGACTTGACATTATGGAGCCAGATAGCCTATATCAATCTGTAAGCTTACCTTGGCATACAAACTTCAATTCCTTGGCATCTGTAACGGTGGTTCTTTTATCTGACCTCTTCTTTTCTGTCCGACGGTGGCTACGTCTTTTCTTTGTCTCTCCCCAAAGATTCGATCCACCATGCATGCTTGGGATGTTTAGAATGGCAATTCCTTCCAGAGAGATATTGATTAAGTCCAGCTGAATTCCATCACACTAATTAGAAAGGAAGGGGGGAAAAAAAGGAAAAAAGAAAAAGAGAGAGAAAGCAAGTAAGAGAGGAAGAAAAATCTGAATGTTCTTTTTCTCAGATATTTTTCTTCAGTAATTTATCATTCTTAACACTGATAATAGTTTATTCAATGTTTACAACTAAGAGATATACTTGTATCTGAAAAGGAGGAATGAGATAAGAACAGATCACCATTCAGAAGGTAAAATATGATTGCTATTCAGCTTTTGATTGCCTAAGTGTTGGACCATTTGGTACTGTCTTGTTATCTGATGCCTGTTCAATGACCCAAGTGAAATATATTTCTAGCTTCACTACAGCTATTAGTAGAAAAATATTTATACTACCAAAATTTCTTTAACAATAACTGGAATGTTTGTTGCCTTTTCCAGCTAAATTTTCTGCCTTATGATTTTGCAATGATACTTGTCACTCTTGCAACTGAGTCCCTTCCACAACAAATGGAATACAAAGTCCCCACAGGCAGAGAACACACAGACTTAGGGAAAAGGGTCTAAGCAAGCCCCAGGAGCACAGAACATCACACAGGTATTCATTTCAGTCCAAAGGCACAAGCCTATGAGAACAGGGCTATAGCTGACTCATAGCTCCTAGCAAGAAGTAAAATTAGTAGAAGTGGGTACAACAATTCCTGATGCAGGTGAAGCAATTCTTACCCCAGAACCTTCACCAACCAGTTCTTTGAAATATGCATAATTGCAAAAACATAGGAAAAACATAGGATGTGGAGCTAAAGAAGAGGCATCAGTGATGTAAAACCTTTCCAAGACTTACTGGACACACATAAGTAATCTTAGTTTGTAGGAGAGTCCCTTCAGTGATGGGATTCTACCCATCTTGTGTCACTAACGTGTATTTCTCATGCTTCCTATAGCAAACCTGAACATTAAGACATTTTATAGAAGCATATTTCTTTGCTTAATCTGGTTTCCAATTATATCATTATAAAGGGACCATATTTTTTACTTCTGAAGAATGGCTCAGGGATCTTAACATATCAGCCTGCCCAGTGACAAATTGCAGCATCTTCTCAGGTGGTTGAACCCCATTTGCAAATACAGTTCACTTGAAATACATTGGATGAGATGAACCTAGCTTGATAGCATACACCTAGCCTTCACTGGCTTCAATTCACTCAAACTAACTCCTCTCTACCAACATTAGGAAGTTCTTATCTCATAATATACAGCAAAATACTGAAGAACCTCCACAGGAGCAAATAAACCACAACTTCATATTACTACAGTGGAACCTGCAGGTGGAAAGCAAAGCATCCAGTTCTACTCATTAGTTCACTGAACCAGCCAGAGGTGCCCAGCATTCATGTACTGGTACCGTGGCTAGAGATGGATTCGCTTCATTCCTCACAACATAGACAGAGTACAGCGATAACCTGACAAATCACATGGACCACAGTATAGAGCAGCATATTTTTAAAACATTTGATCCTACTCCTGCAATGTTCTGCAAGCTTGTAGAGGATCCAGTCATCCATTTCAAATTGATTACGGGTATTATTTTGCAATTCCAATACACAATAATCAGGGAGAAAACTGGAAAAATAATTAAGCATGCCTCAGTAATAGTCCACTGACATCTTGCAGCTTGCTGCTCTGTGGGTCACTGGCTCTTCTTCCTCTCTGCCTAAACCTTTATTGCAGCTTTGAAGAAGAAAAGTCAAGTACAACTCAAGAATAACTGAATAATTGTTTATTCTGAAACTTTCCGAGATCATCAAACAGAACTGTATTATAATGCACACACATCTTAATTCTTCTAAGAAGAGCATAAATCTGGACAGAGAACAATTTCAACACTAAGACTTCCATTTCATATTTGCTCTTCAAGAATCAAATTTTAAACCTGTGGATTATATTCATACAAGGAAACCTTTAAAGTCGAAAGGCATACCTGAAAGTGAATTGGCAGTTGTAGCAACTACTGTAATTGAAAGTGTAACTTTTTAATAATACTTTTCTTACAAGAATTAAGGCCTAGGTTTTCACTGTCATTTTTGGAAGCAAATGTGTGGTTTTCCCTGGTATTTTATATGTATTAAATACTAAGATCATTTATTTTGCTAAAAATTCTGCTCATGTGTATGCTCACTTACTGCTATACATTCTAGATAAACAGATATTAATTTCATAATTAAAAGTAATCTTGTGTAAATACCCTGCAGGCCTCAATGAATCAAACACATACTGTGTGTCAGGCCTCCCACTGTCTTCAAGTGGAATGTACTGGCTGGATAATTAGATAGTACATATTTTTTAACCTTATTTGCATGCATATTATATCTTTTGCACACTGACAAGCAGCAGTAACAACAAAAGTCAGATTACCACAGGGAATTCCCACAAAGAAGTCTTCATTTCTTATAATTTGCAGCCTAAATTAAAATAATTTGATCTTTGACAAGGATGAAATGTCAAGCAGAAGGGGGTCCTCTACAAGCCACGGCCTGTGGCTTCTGAAATCTGCCTAATTTATGTCAGTCACTTCTTAATACATATTTAAGTATTACACGAGAAAGATGATAAATATGCAATCTGACACCTTTGGTATTTCCCTGCTGTTAATTTATAAAGGTCTGGCGTCCCCCAAACTGACTGGAATTATTTAAATAAAAGAAGAATTGTGAAATAGAATGGTGCGGGGTCTAGCTTCCATTTTCACTCAATATTGAGCACAGCAGGTAGTACACTAAGACAATTATGTGACGAGGCCTCAGAGTCCCCCAGTGATGAGCAACTTTCTGAATAAGGAAAGGAGCGTTTCTTTTGTTCGTACACAGACAAAAAGTTTGCCCTACAGGTAGCTCTGCATAGTTCCAACACATTCATATACTGCAAAAACAAAACACAGGTGCTCTTCTCCTTTCCTTTTTTATTTCAAATAAAGTAATGATGCTGTTAAAAACCAAAGCATGCTTTTAAAATGTGGAGTATGCTTACCTAGAATTAGAAGAAACACTAGCTCTTCTAACTCTTTTTTACCTTCTTTCCTGGGCTCATTCACTTCTTGGGTATTATTGTTTATATCTTATTTATCATATAAATTATTTTCAGATAATCTCTCTGTTGAGAACATACATATCTATGCCTGAAAAGAGCTGATATTGAGGCTTTGCTGTGAAACCAAGGGCAGTATCAGGCAAGCGTACAGGAATATTTTACACTCCTTTCCCTTACCCATTAATACCAAGTGGTACAGAAGGCTTATACTACTCCCACCATGCTCTTACAGCATTGCAGGTATGGTCCATGCCACTCCTACTTATACCACATCTATACCTACTCTCATTAAATATCTTTCACATACCTTTCTTTTTTTTCTGAAGTGGAAATAAACTGCAAGTTCTCTACATTGTAAAATCTTCAGCCTTGTTTACTGACACATTCATATTGAAAATAAATTCATAATATTGAAAATAAATACTTATTTTGTCCTGTTTTTTTGTTTATTTAATTTTGGCCTCTTTCTCTTTAGAACCTCTCCTCAATTTCTTGCATCCCATTTTGAAAACCAAAATACATCTTATTCTGGATAACGTAAGAATTGTGTCCAACTTTGTTCTTCATCTCACACTCACACAGAAGAAAAGATACAAAATATGAGTCAAGAACGTATGTCAGAAAAACCAAGCTTAATTAGGTCAGAAATCAAATACAAGGCCAAAAAAATATTTGCCCAGAGAACATCTCATCACCATCTCACAGATACAGATCCTTAATCTTCTCAGGCTTTGTTCATTCAAAATTTGGCTATAGAGCAAACACATTCTTTGTGCATTTTACTTCGAGTGAAATGTAATCTCATGCATCAACCTCGCATTTATAGTGGCATCTCCAAGTGACATCAGGTTAAAAATCAGACTAAAATGCTGATAATGTTCACACTAGAAACATTAAATACAAGCATACTGGCAAGCATTGTAATTTACTCATTGTAAATAAATATGCAAATAATCACCTCCTAACAGTTCTTGTAAACTCTGGAAACGATGCTTTTTGCTCCTAATTGTATGACTAATGGTCATGACCAGGATAGATTAAGTGAGTATAACCAAACGTGCCTCATTAGTTATTGACATGAATAGGTAATAATTACACAGCTAATAGCAGCAGCACTACAAACTTGTATAGCTACTTGTTTGCTTTGTGATGTTAACATTTAATAACCCTTTCAGTGATTAAAATTATATGGTTAAAGTTCACATCTTAGTACCTATCAGGATATGTATGACTTTCTCTAGATAGCAGTATTTTATTGGGAAAGCCTGCTCTTCAATTTGTTTTTAATCAAAAGGTACATTTAACTTGCAGTTTATTCAAATCTAATCAAACCAGGTAAGCATTTCTTCCACTAACTAATAAAATATTTTTCATGCTACATTTCCTTAAACTCGTGTGTGAAGCACTCTCTTGGGAAGCAAGGGTGCTTTTTTTGTTAATTTTTTTTTCTCAGGCTTTTGGTGGAGTTTTATTTTTATTGTATTTTAATCTAACACATGAGGATCAGGTTTTTGCTTCAAAGAGAAACATAACAGCACATCAGGCAAGTGTGGCACTGCTGGTCTTACAGTTTCAGCCTCAGTATTCTTTGCTACTGTTCTGCAACCAGGTACATGGTTCCCCTCAGATCATTTCAGACTTCACCCTTTAGGAGGCTTTGACTGGACTCTCACAGTTCCCACCAGACCTCTCTGAGTGCCTCATGCTACTGTACAAATACTCCACTGACGTGCAGTTTCTCATTACTACCGGAAAGGAAAAGCAACATATTCCTCTTGAGAAATGGTTTCATTATTTAACCTAAATTCTCAGGTTTGTATCTTCACTCATTTCTCATGTACTTATTCATAGACTTCAGATGCCCAAACAGTTTATGTAATTTAGCCACTTATTCTAGCAGCCATCAAAGTGGCAGTGGCACATTATTTTAAATTCGTATTTTGTCTGTACGTATCCTGTGTCTTTCTAGTTAATGTTCAATGTATAATGGAAAGATGACCCCTTGTGCAGAGAGAAAAGCTATTTAATGAAGGGGAATAATTCAAAAAATATATATATTCTTTAACCTTTATTCAGGAAAGTAAGTACAATTTTAGGGATTTGAGTTTTAAAGGTTATAAAACCTTGGGACCTAGAAATAATAAGATTATTTTTTTTATTTTAATCCTGCAGCAGCTCTCACTCCCTCCAACAGTCTTTCATTTTTCCATCTGACCTAGCCACACTCCCTATTGATTTCTAATGTTATACTTCACCTCTTGACCTTGTCTACTGTATTAAGACTTCACTAATCATCAAACTGAACTTTGTTCCAGTGTGCAGGGCTACACTACAAATAGACATGATAAAAATAATATTTTGGAATATAGGGTCGAAAGGATGTGCACTGCTTTGCCTTGTTGGATTCAGGCACTCTGCACCCTTGCTCCCTGCATTTCAGCCAAACTAGTGACATTTCAAGGATAAAGGCAACAATTAGTTTCTTACTTCTATTTCTACAGATTCATGCAGCTTCTTACAGGTGGCTGAGAAAGTTTCCGAAGTGCCAAATTCAAAATACCAAAATTTGTTCTTCATTCTGAAACAAGAAAAAAAAAAGAAAAGAAAAAAAGAAAGATCTTATTCACTATCAATATGTGACAAAAGTGATCATCCTGTCTTCCACTATAAGTAATGGCAAAGGCTTGGGAACATGTGACATCCCATTTGAAATAGATGAGCTCATAATTTTCAAAGCTTAAATGTTGGTGTCAAGTTGTATGATATCCCCTAAAGGGATAACAGGAATGTGTTGAACTGACAGGTTCAAATGTACCTTTGACTTTTCTTTTTCAGTGACTATCAGAATATTTTTTGTCACTTAACCAGTGACATGCCTCAGAAAAATGTATCGATTTTATTTCATGTCTCACACCTACTATACGATTTCTGATTCACAGTTAACATCTTTATCCTGCAGAGTAGTAGAATGTGCAAGCAGGGCAATCCCATCATGAAGAAGAGCCAAGACAAAAATGTAGCTTGCCTTAAGATAGTTAAAAGTAAAGGCAAATGCCTATTGTAGATGATGACAGATGAGATACTAGAAGAAAATAAAAATTCCAGATCTAACAATCTTTAGATATTTTGCAGTAGGAAAGCTGTATTTCCAGGTAATTCACTCATAGACACATTTTAAATGGGCAATGAGACCTGCATCTTGAAGTTCATTAACAGGTTCTACAGGAAAATAAAACTGGATTAAATGCCAGTAAATTGCTTAGTTTATCATGACAGCAGGCAGAATTTACACTTTTTTCCTTCTTAAATACATAAAGACTGCACTTCTGTTTTACCAGATTTATTGCATACTGTTAAAGACAATCAGGACGCCAACAGCACCATTTCAAATCAGTATGTGTACTTTTCGTGAACTCCCATGAGTAATTATTATTCTGCAACAAGAAAAAGAAGCTAAACAACCACAACAAAAGACACTGAATTAGAATTCATTATTCCCACTTAGGAATCAGATATGAACACAGTTTCTCCACTTGTATAAACTGTTCTCTGACATAGGCACAGCACATTGTGCTCTTGAAAACAACAGAGTCTGCATGAGCCAGAAGTGGGGAAGAATGAAACATAAATGTAGATGACCGTAAAGGATGTCAAAAGTATAAATCCTACTTTTAATTATTTCAAGTTACATATAAAATACTACTTAATTGTTGTTGAAATCTACTTAATGACTCTTAAAACCACAAAGTAAGAAGAGGTATTGCAGTACTGGCCATTTCCAGAAACCTGTTTGTGTAAGTGCCAGCAATTCCTGATGTAGCATCAGAGGGGTGTAAAGATGTCCAACCTGGCAGCCTATACAGAGCTGGGATGAGAAGAGTAATAAGGAAATGACAGACTTCCGATGAAAAAAATTCACAGGAATTCCCAAAGGCTTATACACAGAAAATCTGAAAGTACCTGGAAACTATTTTTGAGAACCTCTTCTCAGATAAATGGCATACTCTCACAGGAGCTCTAACAACCAAGAGGGTTCAGGTCCAGATTTCTCAAGTATGTGAATGGAAGTGATCTGACATATGTTCCTTCTATACCTGCAGTTTAGCTACCATACTGCCATGCTGACCTGAGATCAAGTGCTCTATTTATACCACCATACATGAAGAAATTTAGAAACCTTTTGTTTCTAAAGAACTGTGAACTAAGTCTTGAATTTCCATTGGATGCCTTTGGAAAATCTGGATGCAGCTATTTCCCTACTAGTTTCTACACAGAGATGATCAATAATAAAATAAAAAGAAAACCAAAACAAACAAAAAACCCCAAAACAAACAAACAAAAAACCCCACATCAAACTAAAACAAAAAACAAACAAAAAACCAAACCAACCACAAAAACCCCCAACAAAACTCCAAACAAACAAAAACCTCAACAAACAAAAAGACTAACAAAACCTTGATGTAAGTATTCATAAACATACATTGTAATGTCTTTTGATCCTATTATTAAGCTAAAAAAGCCTTTGTGTCTTCTCTTTTGATAGCCTTTCCTTTTGCTATTCAGTTACTTTTACCACAAATGAAGACTCTTTTCTTTTTCTATATTTAAAAGACTGCTCTAAATTGACTCACTCTATATAACAAACTTACACAAAGTTAAAATAGACATATATTTTTGAGTGATTCAGAATACAGTGTGTCAAATTCAGGTATTTTGAGCTCAGCTACACAAAACCCAGCATTGTCAATACACTTAAAGATTACTAGAAAATTCAGATCTCTAAATCTAATTCTTGTTGAATCTTGTAACAGAACATTAAGTAAATATATCAGGTGAGGTTTTGATTTCTTGTAATTTAAATATAAGATTCTGTCAGGCTGAAAATTGTATTGTTAGTCTGCTCTCCATTGTCTAGTCTCTGTTTTTAAGCATAGAAAGACAACTTACTTGACAGTTTTTCAAATACAAAGACAGACGTAGATACAAATAATTTTATACTTAGTTTTCAAATGATTTACCAATTTCCTTTACATACCATGAAATAGATTAAATTTTGTGGTTTTATTCAAATGCACTATATCTTTTATTGAACAGAGGATTGTATTAAAACTGACGTCTTTCCTAGAAATACAAAATTGAGTTAAATAAAGAACTTGAGAGAAATTATACTGAAATTTTCATAAGCCAGACAAGTATTATTATTTTAGTAAACATTACAAATTTTCTAATAATAAATAAAACCCCAACCTCTAGTTCATATCTTCCACTTGCATTCCTGTTTCAAAGAGGTAAAGCTCATCTGCTTATCAGTGCAGCAGCAAACAGAAGATCAATGAACTACTCTCATGGCCATTCCAATTTATTTCACAATGCAAGTAAATTTTAGATTGCTAAACAAATACATATTTAACGACAATTTTGCCACAATCAAACTGCAAGAAACTGAATCACAGGCTGCTGTCATGTATATTTTCTCTCTCTCCCAGAGACTTACCAGCTTTTAATAGGAGATGACCAAAACCAAGTTTGAAGTCTGCTCCGCCTTTACAACATTGGTTTTGTTGGAATAGGAAAGGGAATGGGTTATTCTACAAAAAAGGGCTTGTTCTTTTGTTTTTTTTTTTTTTTTTAATATGCTTTGAAATGCATAGCTGAACTCTTAAAAACTTCACACAATATGAAGAAAACATCAGTCATAATTAAAGGCTCACCTATCTTGCTATTGTATTATAGTATGTCAAAATATACAGCCTATAGGTGTAGGAATGACAAAAACAAAACTTTACTTCAAGAACCAAAACACCTTTTATGCTAGCAGTGTTCCACATTTTCAAGTATTGGTCAATTTTCTGAAAAGCAGAATGATCTTCTTTAACAGGGATGAAATAAATTTGCATGACAGTTATGAGAGACTGAAATGTTAATGGTTAATGACTCGTACAATTGGGCATTTGCAAAAGCAGCAGGTGCTTTGCTGAGGCCAGGTTGCATCCCCCAACTGAAGGGGAGGAGGAGAGGTTTTGGGTGTGTGATGGTGAAACCTAAGAACAGCCCAGGTGCAGAGGGGGTGAGCACGAAGGAGGACCACAACAAACCAGTCTGTTTAGCAATAAACTGGAGTTTGAGCCAAGTAAGGGAAGAGGCTGGTAAGGAGCAGATCTTGCTATATGGGAAAATGCTTTTTATCACGCCAGTGTCCTCAGTTACATAACTTGTTCAGGCATAAAACTGGTCCTGGAGATGTACCAGGACATTCACACACAGGCTGAAGGTGCTCATCCCTTCTGTGGGGAATAACTGGCTAAACCAAGCAGACTTGAGAAGCAGCTGTAATGTCTTAGAAGATGTAATAAACTATCAAAGTTCCTCAAAGTGCCCCCAGACTCATTTCTGGGACTTTCCACCAGAGGACTGAACATGATCCACAGTGTTTCAACAGACAGTGTTAAACTCCCACCCCAGGGGAGGGTGTTCCTACCTGAACCTGAACATAGATCAACCCACTAAACTATACATTTCAGGGCCTTCCTCACCCCTGACAGATCAAGACAGTGACCATCACTTCAACCAAGCAACAATCAAATCTCATCACTTGATCTACATGTGGTGATATCTATATATGCATAAATACCAGCCACTCCATGCCATTTCACTGCAATCTGCCCCAAGGGATCTGTTAACAAGAAACTCAGCTCCTCTCACCTTCAGGGACAGTACAGAAGGGCTAACACTGCCACTTCTTACAGCATTTCTATACTGTGGATAAATATCAGACTTAGAAACTTAGGTATGTTTCTCGGAAAAGTTCAGACTAATATTTGGTAATCAAGGCAAAATAATCAAAATAGTGTGTGATATGGGTTTGCTCCATTATCAGTTAATCAGAAACCCCCCTACTGCTAAAACTATTTTATATAACCTTTCTGATTAAGCAATTACAAGGCATGTCATTGAAAAATTGTCCTGTATCTAAATATGGAAATAGTAAATACTTTATTCAACACCTGAAGAGCATCTATACTTCACTGCAGTGTGAACACTCTGTCAGAACGTGCATAACAATACAACCGTTATGGGCTGCTAATAAAAGGTCACAATAAAAGGAGTACCTTTAACTTAAGTAACAAATTCTTATTCTGCATTTATGGTCTTCACTTGGGGCAAGAGCTTATTGCTACATTTGCAAGTTTGTCACACTTTCACCTCATCCTATTTACACTTCTCATATTTACTATTTATATTTATTATATTTATTTTCATTTTAATTATGCAGTGTCAAGCTTCAATGTCTTCAGCTAAAATGTCTTTGTCAGAAAAATTCTGTTATTTTTGTAAAATGTCAGCTGAAATACCTTGACCACTTTTGAAAACGACTGGATTAAAGACATGTATATTTGCTTATATTAAGAGTGTTTGACAACATACACTTTGAACTGTTTTAACACAGCTACATTTTCTAAACAGAGATTTGAAATTTAGAATGGCCTTGCATCAGGAATATGCCTCTAGCCATCTGCATGAAAATAAATACAGATTTTAACCATATTATGACCACTTGGAAAAAGACTATGGGAAGGC